GTTATTGAAAAAAATTATATCGCGATACATATTGATATTGAATTAGTGTCCAGCCCTACCTATATGTAGTTACATCTGTAATTAATTTCTGCAACTACATTTATAATTAGTGTTGACCCATCCCTTACACCTAAACCCACTGTTTAACCTACCCATACCACTAAACCTGTCTCTAACCTTACCTGTATCCCACCTCAATAGCAGCAAAAGTGTTTTGCAATATAATATGACCACAATAAGTACATTGTACGTACTTTTTTGATTTAAGTACATAGTAGTTAAGGCCACCTAATATAAAGTGTGACCCTAAATTTAGCCATGCATCATGAAATTTGCTCACAATTTGGTTTGAATTAGTTTAATAGATTATTAATTATTATTATTATATTATTATACAAATATATATATATATATTTAAACAGAAATATGCAGAACGTGCTTATAAACAGAATGTTATCGTCCATTGCTGTGGACACTAATATAGTTATTGTTATAGCTATTATCTTTATAGTTAGCGCTCTTGGAGTGAACCCACCTTTAGTCTGACATACATGACAGTTAATGACACACACTGACCTGCAGCAGGTGGACCCACAAATCCTCCAGAGCTCCGTAACAGCATGAAGAGCCCTAGAGCGCTGTCAAAGCCCTCCAGTCCAACAATATCCACAATAGTCGTCACATGGATGGCCACCACGCAGCCGAACAGGAAGCCATAGAGTGAGACAAAGACCAGGATACTCCAGTAGCTCTGTGCAATGGGAAGCAGAAGCAGCACCACCCCCAGCGCAGTGACCACCATGGTCAGCAGCGGCAGGTTTCTCACAAGCCGCAGGTTAGCCAGCCACCCGCATGCTAGTCTGCCCAGCAGGTCTGCCAATGCCAGCACTGACAGAACCGAGGCCGCCCAGTACTGCTCCATGCCCAAACTGCTGGCATAGGGTACCAGAAACAGAGGTGGGATGAAGAAACCCGTCGCCGCCAAGATGGCAAACACAATATATAGCAGCAGCTCAGGCCTCTGCAGAAGGGACCACTGGAAAGTGCCTTTTTTTGATGTCCTGCTTTCTTCCAGCACCGGTTTGTCTTGGATGGAGGTTTGTGCAGCTGGGAGGGGTTTCATCAGAGCACCACACACACACAGATTCAGCTGAAGACCACCGATAATGAGTAGAGCCCCCTGCCAAGAATAGCTGTCGATAAGCCACTGGAAAAATGGGCTGAATCCCATTGCAAAGACACACTCTCCAGAACTAGCAATCGCATAGGCAATGGGACGCCAGCGTCTGAAATAATGGCTGACCATGCTGTTAGCTGGTATCCAAGAAAATGAAATGCCAAGTCCTAGATCACAAAAAATAAAACACACTGAGGTCAAATTATCACTAGACAAATAGGAAAGACTAGGAGTGCCACCAAATGAAGGAATCAATAATCAAAGTATTAATTAAAAACTAAAAATGAGCACTACCAATAAAAAGTTTGGAGTTGGTATGATTTTTTATGTTTTTGAAAGAAGTATCTTATGATCACCACGGCTGCATTTATTTGATCAAAATACAGTAAAACAATAATATTGTAATTTTGTAATTATGTAATATGTAATCATTTGTGATATATTTTAAAATAATTTATTTCTGTCCTGCCATAGTTGAATTTTCAGCAGTCATAACTACAGTCATCAGTGTCAAGTGATTGTACCAGTCAAAATATTTTGAACATTAAGATTTTTAATGTTTTTTAAAGAAGTCTCTTCTGCTCACCAAGCCTGCATTTATTTGATCCAAAGAACAGCAAAAACAGTAAAATGTTGAAATATTTTTACTATTTAAAATAACTGTTTTCTATTTGAATATATTTTAAAATATAATTTATTCCTGTGATTTCAAAGCTGAATTTTTAGCATCATTACTCCAGTCACATGATCCTTCAGAAATCACTCTAATATTCTGATTTGCTGCTCAAAACACATTTATTATTATTATTATGTTGAAAACAGCAGAGAATATTTTTTTCAGGTTTCTTTGATGAATAGAAAGTTCAAAAGAACAGCATTTATCTGAAATAGAAATTTTTTGTAACATTATAAATTTCCTTATCATCACTTTTTATCAATTTAAAGCATCCTTGCTAAATAAAAGTATTAATTTCTATAATTTCTTTCCCACACACACACACACACACAAAAACTGACTCCAAGCTTTTGAATGGTATAGTGTATAATGTTACAAAAGCTTTTTATTTCAGATAAATGCTGATCTTTGGATCTTTCTATTCATCAAAGAATCCTGAAAAAAAAATTACTCAACTGTTTTAAATATTGATAATAATAAAAATAAATGTTTCTTGAGCAGCAAATCAGCATATTAGAATGATTTCTGAAGGATGTGACACTGAAGATTTGAGTAATGATGCTGAAAATTTAGCTTTGATCACAGGAATAAATTATATTTTAAAATATATTCAAATAGAAAGCAGTTATTTCAAATAGTAAAAATATTTCACAATATTACTGCTTTGCTGTATTTTGGATCAAATAAATGCAGGCTTGGTGAGCAGAAGATAATTCTTCAAAAACATTAAAAATCTTACTGTTCACAAACTTTTGACTGGTAGTTTATATATATATATATATATATATATATATACATATATACACACACACACACACACACACACTGTATATAAAAACATAAATTAATATAACAATATGATGCCATGTTACTTTCAAAGTATAAGATTTTCATGCCCATGTATTACAAAAAAATCTTGTATTAGTTAAAAAGGGAATTGTGTTCTGCAATTCAGTATTGCATAATTATTGAAAACTTAACTTACCTTGGAGTACACCAATAGACAGATACATCCAAGGCAGGCTGAGGTCCAAAGAGGCCATAATCATTCCCGAGGTAGCCAGAAGCCCTCCGATCATGATAACAGCGCGCTGGGACAGGCGCATACTGAGAGCACTGGCCAGAGGAGCTAAACAGATGAGAAACACACGTCTCACTATGCAGGGCTGGTGTCAGTTTCAGACAATTTGTTATACCTGTTCTGAGAGTATTTATATAATTTCTGTTGATAACAATAAGGAAAAGTACATAAAAGCATTCCTCACCTCCTAAATGAAACACAGCAATAGTGCTTGAGGTCACCCATGAGGTAGTACTGTTAAGGACATCATAGTGACTTTGGATTTCAAGGAAAAACAGACCAAAGTTTTTAAAAACAGCAGCGGTGAGGCCCATGATGAAGAAGGCCGAGGTGACCACGACCCAGCCATAGCCGCCATCCGGTGGGTCGCTCAAGCACCTCTCCATGCCGAGTCCGCCAGTCGGCTCTCTCACCTTCTGTAAAATATCATCGCAGATTTTCAACATTAGGGTATGTAACCTTTTACCAGTGTTATTTTAGTATCATTTATGCACTGCTATAGTGTTTATTCATATTTTGAATGAGCTTTTATCTATATATTTTCTGTTTAATTTTATAGTTTTAATAATCTCATGTGCTTGTGTAGCTTTCATTTAGTTATTTTTAATATTAACACTTCTGTTTAGCTTTAATATACTTATATTTTACATCTTGTTTTTGGAATTTAACCACTGATCTATAAATCTCTATTACAGATCAGTGACTTCATTTAAAATTCACTTAAATTAGATTTATTTTGGATTGTTGCCAAGGCAACATTTAAAGTTTTTTTTATTTCTTTCATTTCAGCTTTATTTCGATTACCAAAATGATTTTTAATAGGTTTAGTTAACAATAACAACACTGACCTATACACCACCATTCAAATTTGGGGCTGGTGAGATTTTTTTTTATACATTTTGATTGCTGCTTAATATTTTTTTTGTAGAAACTTTGATACATTTTTGTTTTTCAGAATTATTTGATGAATAGAAAGTAAAAAAAAAAAAGCATTTAAATATTTCGTAACATTACACATTTCTTTACCATCACTTTCAAACTATTTAATGCAACCTTGCTGAAAAATTTACTAATTTTTCTTTTTTTTTTTTTTATAAATTGTACTGATCCCAAACCTTTTGAATGGTTATGTATATACACAATATTGTATCTAAAATGTTTCAACAAAATACTGAAATTATTTTTTTTAGAATGTCATAATTTAGAATCTTTTTTTTGTACCTTTGGTAGTTGAAATCAAGATGAAAAACCATTTGCAATGCATCTGCGTCAGCACCTGTTCAGCCTGTTTCACATCTTACTATGCAAATTAGCATTGTGACCAAAAAACAACAACAAAAAAAGTCCAACATTTGAAGATTGCATAAAACTGTTTTCAATAACCAAAACTATTCTAGCTGCTAAACACTTATTCAAAACCTATCAGCTCTTCGAAAACAGCACTAAGAAGCACAAGCAGTAACCAAGACGACAGATCTAACTGGAACAACTGCTGACAATGGAAATATGTAGCAAGTGCCAGAAATCATAAGATCTTGTGCGTCAACAGCATGACCCACAAATGCCTGCTCCATTGCCCAGTCCTGCCTGATGTGATCATGGACTAAGCCAGTCCTTCACTGCCATTGACGTTACACCACTAGCAGCAGACAAACATACTCATGTTTCAACATAGTTCATGACAGCTTTGTCCTTGACTTTTTTTGACTCTCACCCATAATACAGCTTGATGTATTAAAGAAGCTATCAAGCCGTCAGCAGCCTACAAACACATATAGAACCACGTGATGTCCAAATAAAAGGTTACTTAATATCATTCAATTGAATCCATTCATGAGGTAGGAATGTGACCATTTTCACCTTTCAAAACAACTTGCTTCCCTGCTGACAGAATCGGAGTCTCATCTTTTAATCCACTCAGTTCTATTACTGTATGGATCTGTGTTAATGCAGACTCTGACAGTATCTATAGGTTTGGGTGTAAAGAGTAAATACAGGCACGCCTGAGGTTTAAAGGCAAAAGTTCCATGTTTCATCATGTGTCTGCTCTGCACTATTGTTGCATACATCCAACCTGTCAGGCACCTGTCTGCATCAGCATCTAGTTGTTGCATGCTGAATCACTGTCTTCTATCCAGTTGTGTTTAGCAATTCCATTGTTTATAAAGAACAATTACGTAACATTGGCAGAAAAATTACATTTATATGAATTAAACCAGGCAGGCAATAAACTGTTTAATTAGCCTATGTTTAATAAAGTGCAGTAATTTTCAGTTTAGAGCATAACTGCCCATTTTCATTGTTAAATCACTTAATTACAATTTATTTTGTATTTACAAGTGCACTGGAATTACACAGCACTGTCGAAAATCACAGGAAATAAAATGTAATCATAAGTTCCATTAAATATTACAGGACGCAATTAACTTCATTCAAAATTACAATAATTTGATATTTTTGCTATAGCTGTTGGGTAAACAAGTGGATACAATAAAACCACACTGACATATTCATCGTTATTTAAGTTTTAGGTCCATATAGTTTATTTACAATTTTAATTATTTTAGTAGCCTACATCAAGGTAAACAATGAAACATGTTTCCTTGGCATTTTTAAGTTTTTTTTAGCTATAATAACCCTAAGACTCTCTCTTAGCTCTATAATGAAGGTAGATTTTATCTGAAAGACTGAATGTTGTTCTCAGGAATATCAAGGAAGTGTATACTGGTGTGCTATTATATACATAAACGAACATTTAAAAATAAACCCAAATATTCATTGGACTAAAACGTGTGGCAACAAACCCGGTTCCCTATATATTCTGCATATTGTTTACTGCATTGTTTATCATATGCCACAGTGTTTGTGGCATATGATAAACCGGCTGCTTTTCTGCTAGAGAATTCTCTATCAAGGATTAATGATGCACGTGCTTCCGGTAAATAAAATACTGCTCTACATCTATGTTAGGGAAATTACTTACGCCAGCGGTGCGACCAGCCTGTTCTCTTGTCCTGTCCTCGGTCAGGTCCTCCTAATGTTGTTCATCTCAGGATGCAGCGCAACATTTGAAGCAGTGTGATGAGTCCGCTGATAAAAGCTCTATTTATAAACTCGCAAGACGCTGGCCACACCCCGTCCGACCTCTTGCCCAACGCGCTTCCTTATGGCAAGCCGGATGTACATTTATTCCTTTAACGCTAAGCTTCTAAAAAGTCGCGTGTATGGTAGTCTCAGGACTGGCTCACTGCGACACTGACACCAGTATTTTAACGATTCATAAAATATTAATCACAGTCGGGCCCTGCTATTGAGATGAATTTTGCTATTGGAGTCATGATTTATGGTAGCATTAAAGCACTCCGTGAGTGTATTAGCACATATGTTGTTTGCTTTTGGAATCTGATAGTGTATCTGAAAGTGATTGGACCCAGAAATGGTGGACTTAACAAGAAGATTAATTAGCAACAAATCAGTTAATTCCCTATGGACAAGCCCAAAGATGGATAAAAAGGTGCACAGGAAACAAAAACCTTAAAAAAAAATATACGACCAGGCACGTGCACATATAGACATAAAAGGGGGCTTGAGCACCTGCCCTTTTTTTTTGTTGATAAATGAATATATGTATAGCTATATGCGCGCGCGTGTGTGTTTCTGTTTGCGCACAGCTTTCCTTGTCAAACTAATAAAAAAATCCAAATATCAGGTCGGGTTGGGAAATGTTGAGACTGTTGAGTTGCCATTGATTGGCACATGCGCATCAGGCAGAGAGCCGCAGAAGTGAAGCCCACCCTCCCTTTCCAGTTGTGTTTGTCTTGGTGTGGAGGTGAGTGGTGATGAACAACAGACTAAGCTACCTGTGCCTCGAATTTACAGCTAATTACCCAAAAGACAAAAGGCAATTATAGTTAATTTGTCTTGCTAACATCCATGACTCATGAGAGCTACATGATTCAGTTCACTGCATGATTCAGTTTATTAAAATGCATTTAGAATGATCACAAAATAGTTATATCATTTCATATAGTTAATCAGTATCATGCGAAGAGTGACGTTTTTTCCACCAAAAAGCAGCATGATTACAAATGTGATATTGATTTTATACAGCAGTTCAATAAACAAGAATTTAATATTAAGATACTTACGTTTTAGACACAATATTAGCTGTTTTTGCTCTATTTCGCCAACAAATATAATTCCAATTTGCATCTCTGAGCAACATGACAGTGTTTTGTTCCTGAATGAATAAACCGTTTAAATGATTCGGTTCAGTCGCAATGACTCACTTATTAACAGTGACTTGCTGCCACCTACTGGCGGTTTTAATTTCACATTTCACTTTTCTTTTTTTATAATTTCAAATATCAGTATTCAACGTTTTATGTTTAAAATATCAAAATGATATGAATGCATTTGTAACTGCAGGTTAAATACATTCATGTCCTGCATTAAACAGTGTGTAAATGCATCTAAATGCCCCTTAATGCAGCTTCTGTGTTTTCTCTGCATTGCAAAGATGGATTTAGTCAATACTGATTTAATTTAAAAGGTAAAAATCTATTTAAACTTATTGGAAAATATTAATTTCTCTCACTGCTGTGAACTGATCACCACACAGAATATGAAGAATATCAAACATTTTAGTAGTCAGCTGTTCACAGCAGTCCTTACAGCACAATAATACACTCAGCAAAATATAATCTAATTATCGATATCAATAAAATCCCAGAAAATATTGAGATATATTTTTTGTCAATATCGCACACCCCTAATATATTTAACGTTTTGATTACACAGATGCCGATTCGCACGGGACTGATATTATCACAGGACCTCGGTGTTCGGCAAAATATGGTAGGTCATTTGAGGGGAATTTTTACTTTACAAATTACAGACATGGCCGATTCACACGGGATTAAGATCACAGACAACCTCTGGATTTATTACAAATGACTAGAGGTCATCAGGTAATACTAATCCTGTGCGAATAGGGCTTAAGACAGATTTCTCCAATCTCCATTATGATATTTTATGTTTTCTGAGCCCCATTCTGGATCAAATCCAAAGATCAGTGTTTTTGTCTTGGTATCTCTGTTTGTGTTTTTATATTCACTGCCATTACTTTGTCCCACTAATGGCCATAAACATGGCATATGAGTGGAAAAGTCTTGTGAATGTAAAAGATGAATACTAGGTTATTGATTTTAAGCAATAAAAGGCTTGCCATATTTCATTCTCTCAGGCATATTTTTCTTCTAATGACCGATTTCACTGATGTATACCACCTTATTAATATGGAAAATGATGATGGATGTTCATCTAACTGTCCTAACCTACTCAATAAATCCTTTAACAATGTTGTAATATAAATTCCACACCCATTTCTTTTAAACATCAGCTGGTTGCGTAAGAGACTCAAACTGTGAATTAACCTCCTGCCCGATTTCACATTCATGTAAACATGTTCAAGATGTTACAAACATGTGCAAAAAATAAAAAAAAATGGGTGTTTAATAGTAACTGGCATTATAATTCAACTCAAGGTTTTTGATTTTATTAGCAAAGCTAATTCTGAGGTGCAAATGGATTCACATACGAGTCATTCCATGTCTAAGCAATTCAAAATAAGACACAATGTGAATGCCAAAATGATATTTCGCCAACAAATATAATTCCAATTTGCATCTCTGAGCAACATGACAGTGTTTTGTTCCTGAATGAATAAACCGTTTAAATGATTCGGTTCAGTCGCAATGACTCACTTATTAACAGTGACTTGCTGCCACCTACTGGCGGTTTTAATTTCACATTTCACTTTTCTTTTTTTATAATTTCAAATATCAGTATTCAACGTTTTATGTTTAAAATATCAAAATGATATGAATGCATTTGTAACTGCAGGTTAAATACATTCATGTCCTGCATTAAACAGTGTGTAAATGCATCTAAATGCCCCTTAATGCAGCTTCTGTGTTTTCTCTGCATTGCAAAGATGGATTTAGTCAATACTGATTTAATTTAAAAGGTAAAAATCTATTTAAACTTATTGGAAAATATTAATTTCTCTCACTGCTGTGAACTGATCACCACACAGAATATGAAGAATATCAAACATTTTAGTAGTCAGCTGTTCACAGCAGTCCTTACAGCACAATAATACACTCAGCAAAATATAATCTAATTATCGATATCAATAAAATCCCAGAAAATATTGAGATATATTTTTTGTCAATATCGCACACCCCTAATATATTTAACGTTTTGATTAGAAAAAAAATTGAACATTCCATGGGACTGATATTATCACAGGACCTCGGTGTTCGGCAAAATATGGTAGGTCATTTGAGGGGAATTTTTACTTTACAAATTACAGACATGGCCGATTCACACGGGATTAAGATCACAGACAACCTCTGGATTTATTACAAATGACTAGAGGTCATCAGGTAATACTAATCCTGTGCGAATAGGGCTTAAGACAGATTTCTCCAATCTCCATTATGATATTTTATGTTTTCTGAGACCCATTCTGGATCAAATCCAAAGATCAGTGTTTTTGTCTTGGTATCTCTGTTTGTGTTTTTATATTCACTGCCATTACTTTGTCCCACTAATGGCCATAAACATGGCATATGAGTGGAAAAGTCTTGTGAATGTAAAAGATGAATACTAGGTTATTGATTTTAAGCAATAAAAGGCTTGCCATATTTCATTCTCTCAGGCATATTTTTCTTCTAATGACCGATTTCACTGATGTATACCACCTTATTAATATGGAAAATGATGATGGATGTTCATCTAACTGTCCTAACCTACTCAATAAATCCTTTAACAATGTTGTAATATAAATTCCACACCCATTTCTTTTAAACATCAGCTGGTTGCGTAAGAGACTCAAACTGTGAATTAACCTCCTGCCCGATTTCACATTCATGTAAACATGTTCAAGATGTTACAAACATGTGCAAAAAATAAAAAAAATGGGTGTTTAATAGTAACTGGCATTATAATTCAACTCAAGGTTTTTGATTTTATTAGCAAAGCTAATTCTGAGGTGCAAATGGATTCACATACGAGTCATTCCATGTCTAAGCAATTCAAAATAAGACACAATGTGAATGCCAAAATGACGACGATATGACTCAAAAGTTGTTCAAACTTCCAACTTTGCATTGTGGGAAATGACTGGTACATAATGAAAGGAAGGAGAATTTGTGACTTGCAAGCCCATGCTGCTTTTGTTAACAAGCTTCAATTGTCACAAACTAGTTCTGTGTGCGATACTCAGATCATTTTCATTTCAGAAACTGGTGCAAGAACACGCTGCCAGTTTAGAGGGTTAGTCGGTGTGGTGGAAACTGGTACCAGCCAGAGGGAAGTGGATAATGTCAAGTGTATGTTTGACACCCACACTGTTGCCATTCCACAGCTCCGGGGGACTGACAGATCAGAATACACACACTGCATGTCCTTTCAACACAACATAGGAAATGCTATATTTCCTTTTTAACCTGTACAAATACAAATCATAGGTCCTAATTAGTAAAAAAAAAATGTTGAAGGCCGAAAAAAAAAAAAGGGAAAACGGAAATGAAATTCTACATCCGATCCACAGATTCCCTCAAAGATTTATGTGAACATGAGACAGGGCTTTAAAATATGCATACCAGTTTGACAGACTATGTGGCGCTGAAGATCAATACATTAACGCATATACCACACGCCCATCATCTAACAAAGAGGTCAATAAGGGTAACACCATTGGGAAATGGCTCATTAATGGCTATTTTGGGATGCAACATTGACTGAAACACATTAGCATTTTTATTCAAAGAAAATAGACTTACAATAGCAAGAACTTTTATCTTTTCAATCAGACACCTCCTGCATTACTATAAACCTATCTTTTTTTTAAATCTTAATTTACATGACACTGCTTCCAAACAGTTCATTTCATTTTTAGAAAATTATAAAATCATCTTTATATATATACATACAAACACGTGGATGTAAAAATGCACAGCTCTTGCATTTAAGAAAACGATTCATTCATATCATCGCTGATAAAGGGGTGCATGCCAGCACTGCTAGCAAAAGAGAAACCCATTCTTGATATAAATGACCTCAATTGTTCTGTCAGAAG